GCCGGATTGAGCCGCTCACTTGGGGCCGCTCCGGCAGCAAAAGCCCCTCCCCCGCTTTCCCCTCCCCTGCAGCTTCAGCACGCCGGCAGCGCTGCGTGGGGTTCTGGGGGGACCTGTCAGGGGGCAGGGGTGTGGAGAGGGATTGGGGCAGTCAGGGGACAGGGAGTAGGGGGAGGGTTGGATGGGTCAGGGGTTCTGGGGGTGGCCTGGCAGGGGTGTGGAGAGGGATTGGGGCAGTCAGGGGACAGGGAGCAGGGGGAGGGCTGGATGGGTCAGGGGTTCTGGGGGTGGCCTGTCAGGGGGCAGCGGTGTGGAGAGGGATTGGGGCAGTCAGGGGACAGGGAGGGTTAGATGGGTTGGAGGTTCGGGGGGGGGGGCAGTCAGGGAACAGGCAGCGGTTGGATAAGCGTGGGAGTCCCGGGGATCTGGCGGGGGCAGGGGTGTGGATAGGAGTCAGAACAGTCAGGGGACAGGTAGGGTGGGGGGGTCTCAGGAGGGGGCAGTTGGGGACAAAGATAAGGGAGGCTTAGATAAGGGGTGGGGTCCCGGGGGGTGATTAGGGGCAGGGGTCCCGGGAAGGGGCGATCAGGGGACAAGGAGCAGGGAGGGTTGGATGGGTTGGGGGTTCTGTGGGGGGCAGTCAGGGGGGCGGGAATTGGGAGGGAGTGGCTAGGAAGCGGGGCTACACCCCCCCCCCCCCCCGAGTGTCCTCTTTTTTGAAAGTTCAAATATGGTAACCCTAATCTAGGTCCATTAGCCCTCCCTCTGCAAAATGAGCCACAAACCCTGCAGATCACCAGGGATCCACTGTAGGCTACAGCCATCTGTGTGAAGGCTCTGTATGTCCACACTACTCTGGAATCCTAGTCTGTCCTGTTCTCTGGGCTCCTGACTAGGTCTCCTCAGGAACCTTGCTAAGAGGAGGCAGCTGCATAAGAAAGAGAGTACAACCTTGCTGTCTTAAGGCATGGCTACACTTGTAGATGTAGAGCGCCGGGAGTTAAACCAGCCCTTGGAGACAGCAGCAGGGAAAGCACTGCCATGTGTTTACACTGTCAGCTGCAAGCGCAGTGGCATGGCCACATTAGCAGCTCTTGCAACGCCACAGAGAGCAGTCTATTGTGGTAGCTATCCCAGTGTGCAAATGGCTGCAGCATGCTTTTCAAATGAGGTGAAGGTGGAGTGTGACAGGGAGTATGTTGTGGGTATGTGGGGGGAGAGACAATGTGTTTTGGGGGGCAGAGAGTGTGTCAGCATGCTATCTTGTAAATTCAGACAGCAGCAGGGGGAAACCCCGACATCAGCCACACACACGCACGCACGCCTGACTGGGCAGCAGCAGCATTCCACAGTAATGGTTTGCTTTGTCCCGGAGCAGATAAGCATGCCAGCTGTCAGAAATGGAGCTTTGACAGGGGATATCCACATGCCTGCAGCCGAGTTCAAAACAATGACAAGAGTGGCCACTTGACTTCAAGGGATTATGAGATGTTTCCAGACGCCAGTCACAGTGCAGTAATGCAACACGTCTTCCATACTGACACCCAGGCATTTCAGCCAGGGCGCAGCAAGCTCTATGCTTCTCGTGGAGGTAGATTACCAGGCGCAATCCTGCTGCAGAGTCCAGGCGCTCTAAGTGCCTTGCCAGAGTGGACACCTCAGGAGTTAGGGCGCCCGGGGCTGATTTAATGCGCTCTAACTTGCAATTTTAGCCAAGGCCTTAGTCTTACTTTCTCTGGCAATCTCTGGGCTTAGTGTGGGGGGGAGATTAAGGGTATAGAAGGAACATGCTCCTCCTACCCGCTATTGATCCAAACCCCTCTTTCTTTAAACAGATTTGTCCAACTGGCCGCTTCTCTGGGTCTGTGCTGCTGTCTGTTAATATATTTTTACCTTTTCGCTTTAAATAGCAAAATTTTATTTCTTTCTAGTGGAAACTTGATGGACCCACCTTTTCAGAGCCAAAAGAAATTTGGAACCATTGTCACAAAGCTGGATAAGAAAACCATCAGAGGAAAGAAATATGATTCAGATTCTGATGATGACTAAAAGCTCAGCTATAAATCTTTGTATATCATTTTTTGTTTAAGCTTGGTACATTTCTAGGAATGTTTTTATAAAGTCTATTGATTTCGGTATGTTTGCACATAATACTCCATTTTTCTGTCAATTTTATAAACTGATTCACATTCGAAGAAATTCCAACTATTTGTTTGTCTTTGGAAGTAGTTTGAAAATCTGAGCCCCTTTGAACCAGGTATCATCTGGGAACTGACCATAAATTTAATCTGTTATTTCAAAACATTTCCATAATTTGCATCTCAGTATTTTATACCATTTATCATATTTTCAATAAAGGAAACGTAAAGAGGCAAGAATTGCAAATAACTATTACCAGAGTAGTGCATCTTAAAGCATTGCTTATCTTATAGTGCCATAGTGTAGCATTGACTAACTTAACTACATTGGACATTGTAAAACAGTCTTAGCTTTTGTAAATTTTCAAGTAGATTGTCAAAAGAATTTCCCATTTACCAAGTACGTATACCGTATGTTGCAGCTGAACCAGCAGGTAATAGCACACATCAACGAGTGTACTGAAACCACCTTGCTTGCAGGGTTATGTAATATAAATTCTGTGGTTGTGAATTTTAGAGCAGATGCTTATACAAGAGACTAGGTAGGATAAGTACAGCAGGAGGGACAATATTTGGTTTTAAATTTGATGCAGTGCAATATATTTTATTGCACTGTTGCTCTTCAGTAATATATAAGGCCTTACCTGAATCGCGAGGTGATCTTCAAATAATTGCGGCCGAGTTACAGATAAGACATGGAAAATTGCAGAAAAGGAATAATGGACCTTTTTTAATAGCAGTAATTTGGAAAAGCCACAGTAGACCTACAATATAAACAACTCAACTATTATATTATGCCTGCAAATTTTGCACCTATATTACATTCATTTAAAAAAAAAAAAAGTAACTGGTACAATATAAAATTCAGACTAAAAGTCTTAACACAACTGCTGTAGAAATCAAGTTGTCACTTTAGCCATTTACGTATTACAGCCATTGAATGTTAGTGCAGAACGCCCTGCTACAGTGGTCTCCTTCATGCCCTATCTGCTTTGTCATCCACAGAATTAGGCAAGATCAATAGTGATTGCTTTGTTGTCTCTGCTAACTCTGGAAAACACTGTAGAACTGAAGATCATTAATGGGGAAAAAAGCGTGTGTTGCAAGCCTCAAATGTATGCAAAATTGTGGACTGTGCAAAGAAACTAAAAATTGCGGTGGAAGTCTAATACTCGAAAGCTGCAATTTCCACAATAGCGCAAGTGAAGTAAGGTTTTAGTAATAGATGTATTTTTTCAGAAGAGGTCTCTCTCTCTCTCCCTCCCTCCCTCTCCTCATTGAAGCTCTCAGGCTAGCATGGAATTTAGTTTATCTAGCTGAAGAATGGATGGGTTTCTTCTTCAGTGTTCATAAACACTAGTTCTTAATTGCAGAGCAATGCAAGTCCTCTTGGGAAATAAGCATTTGTGGCACTTCCAGCTCCTTTTTGGCCTAACAAGCAAGGTGAAGACTGGAAATCTAATCATTCTCACTGCTTAGTAGTGAAGAACACTTGCCAATGGGCCAGCCCAGCAATATATTTCTCTTAAGTCTGTAAATCTCAATTATATTTTGTTTCAGTTTGTGTACATTGAAATAAAGTTATTTGAATTCAGATGCTGATGGTGTTATTCCTTCTAAAAATAGTTTAGTGTGACTGTAATGTTTTTTACCCATAGTGCTGTCAGCAAGTCACACATTTTAAGTTTCTTGACTTTTTAACAGAGCAGATGCTAGTTAAAATTTTAGCTTAAGAGCAGGGGAACAGTTATCCCACCGCCTTAATTAGTGTATACCTAGCAAAATTAATTATACAGCAGACAGAAACAATCACAGAACCAGACAGACCATGCAAATAAACAATAGCAAAGTGGGAACTATAATGACAAAACAATACAGAAAACTATCAAACTAAATTTCCTTTTACATCTTCTAGGCTCTTTCCTTTATCTGGAGGCAATAGATCGAATCATCTTTCTAACAGCCCAAGATTGCCTTATTTCAATATGACTGGTTTGAAATGTGTGAGGATGTGACCGTATGCTTTCCAGCTTATGGCTGCTCCCACTGCTTAGCCCAGGGGTGGCTTACCTGAGCCTGAGGAGCCAGAATTTACCAATGTATATTGCCAAAGAGCCATGGTAATATGTCAGCAGCCCCCCATCAGCTCCAACCCCTGCTCCCAGCACCTCCCACCCACCAGCAGCCTCGCCAATCAGTGCCTCCACTTCCCTCCCCATCAGCTGTTTCGTGGCGTGCAGGAGGCTCTGGGGGGGAGTGGGAGGAGTGAGGGCACGGTAGGCTCAGGGGAAGGGGTGGAGTTTGGGCAGGGCCTGGGGCAGGGGCAGGGGTTGAGCAGTGAGCACCCCCCGGCACATTGGAAAGTTGGCACCTGTAACTCTAGCCCCGGAGTCGGTGCCTATACAAGGAGCCACATATTAACTTGTGAAGAGCTGCATGTGACTCCGGAGCCACAGGCTGGCCACCCCTGGCTTAGCCAAAGGCCTTAGCTTAAGAACAGGGCCTCAGACTGTCACAGTGAGAGAAGGCCCTTACACAGGCAGACAGTGATTTTGATTCTTTCTTTTATACCTCTATAACTAGCTAAATGATAAACATATACCTAAATTCTTAAAGTATAGGCCTTTACAGACAAGCCTGAATATCTATATCCTAACACTCTACCCCTTTTTTTTTTTTCTTTTCTTTTGGGATCCTGCTGCCCAGGTATCCCTGGAAAAGCATAGGCCATATGGCGACACATTTCCTGATAGGGCCAGGCATCAAGGTGGATGGTGTCAATATTCCATCTGTCCCACTGCCCCTTGTGTAATATCGTGCCCTGCACTTTCTCTTGTTCGGGCATACCACACCGATTCCAATTAGTGTTACAAACTTCCCATCATAGAAGGCACGAGAAGGTTGGTTCCGGGTTGTTTAGTACACAGGGTGGGGGGGGGGGAAAGGGGGCTTACTACATTACTTAGGTTATAATTAGTGACTGTTCTCTAGGGGGTTGTGCCCCCCTTGATCATTTCCATATACAACGTAACACAAATACAGTTAACAATACACCGGCTGCTATGATAATCCACAACAACACCGAGAGTCCTGACCACTGTAGTATGGTACAGCATCCTGGCCACCACCAAAAACACTGCTTCTCCTCCTTTGATAGGGTTAAAATTTTGTCAGCGCTATCCTGTAGTGTGTATTGTAAGTGTGTCCGATTGTTGGTGCTTGCAGCAAGTTGCTCTTGTAATCTTTGTGTACTCTTGTCCATATTGTGTGTCCATTGAATATCAACAGTGAAATTTGGTATTGTCCAAACCAATTCAACTACTTGGTTTGCTGTGCCATGGGGTAGTAGGTGCTGGTTCGACTGTTTACAACGATTAAGTCCACTGATCCATTGGTGCACCATAGTCCAGGTGGCAGTGTATAGAAGTTCATAATTTGGTCATATACTGGAAGGATTTTGCCACCTAGTGTTATATTGCAGGACTGCATACATTCCCAACAGAATACACCGTACCCCATATACATTACCCCTAAATACCCCCCCCCTTTGCAATAGGCCATTGATCCTGCTCCTCCATAGTCATAGGAGGGGCACATCCATATTCCTCCTCTAGATATACAACTGCTTAATGTGATGACAGTCCAATTTAACCCCATTCCACTCCCCCCACCTATTTCCTAGTGGCTCCCAACAGGCTCCCCCTTCCCTAGTTACTCCCATAGGGTTCAAGGGGACCACCTTATTTGCATTTCCTTCCCATGGTATCATAGTAACAATTACACAAGAACTGTCCCCACAGCTAGATGGGTATGTTTTTGCAATTGTGGATAAGTATGGGCTAGCCTCCCGATTTAATACTGAAGGCCAATGTTCTGACCAAGCATCTCTTATAATATCCATTAACATTATTAACTGAGTATTTTGAATACCTACACACACTTCTCCCCCTGTTACTCTTCTGAAGCCATCCCTGACCCATGTTACCAGGTCCCCTGCCCAATGAGTTAACTGCAATTTTACCTCTACTGCTGTCCTCCACCCTGTGGCAACTGCTGATAGTTGTTGTGCCATTAATTAATTAATTTGTTGTTGAAATCTCACATTTTGGCTTACTAATTGTTTGGTTACCCACTCGTCCCCCAGATTCCATGTACCCAGCATAGTGTTCCCCGCTGCCCACAATCCCCTTTTCAACGACGATTCCAGGTGTGTCCCCTCACCCACCAATTGAATTGTTGTTTCAATCCTTTAATGTACATACTACAATTAGGATGAATTTGGTCCACCCACCATTCCTTGGGGCGTACCACCCATGTAATAGAGTGAAAGGACACGTTAAAAAGTGCTGCTGCACCCGCTCCCACAATGGCTCCCATACATTTGCTCGTCGGGGAATATTCTTGGCTCCAGGCTGTGGCCACTTTAAATTTGGATTCTTCTAACTTGGCATCCATATCACCTGTAGGGTTACATTCTGTAAAATGGTTAACTCATCATACACCCAGTGTCCCAAAGGGGATTTTATGCCCAATGTAATATGTACATAACAATCACACCTTCGGGGATTATCTTCCATGGAAGTACTATTGTGGTTACATATGGTAACATCACACCCTAAATGTAGGGCCCTATTTTCCCAAGAGGGTTCATTTGCTGCAGGAGACCAGAGGGTTGTATTCTTTGGACCCTCTGTAACAAACCACATAGCTGGGTAACTGTGTTTTCCACTATCATTAATCATGCCAGCACCCAGGGAGTACCATGCAATATTTCCTGATAAAAATGATATGCTCCACCCGGTTGGGATTCCCCCATCTAATCCATAAACCATATACAGACTCTGCCAAATTCCTGTTGGAGTATTAGTGGTACATCTTTCTATGGGGAGATTTTCATAGTCTTCGTTAGCTTTATTACCACAGATTGCATGTGTAGCCGTTCATGTGTTTCCTCCTTTTGACACTTCACATCATGGGAGCTGAATAGAATTTGTAAATGTGACAATTGTGATTAGCACTAGTAATTGTTCCATTCAGGGCCAGGGAATTTTCATCATTTTCTCCTTTTTGAATTAACCTGTAATACACACATAACAAAATTTACACATCCCCTTTCCAATACCCTGTTTGTACCTTTTTATTTGTGTGCAGTGAATCCACTCCCGTCCTCTATTCTCTGTACCCAATAATAGCAGACTGGGCTTTAATTGGTCAAGGACAAGATAGGGGCCCTTCCATTTAGGAGCTGGGAATGGATGGTGATGACCTGGAATCTTGTACATCACTAGATCTCCCACCGTGGGTAGATCACGCTCCCCGGGCAGGTCATACCATGCTTTGACTCTCCTTGCTGCTCCTTGCTCGTCTTGCCAGGCCAACGCCTGCTGTAACTGTTTTACACGATCAATTAGAGTTAAAATCCATTCTTGTGTTAAGCCGTGTGTAGTGACTTCCCCAGGTACTGGGGTAAGTAGATTTTTCAACCATTCCATGGGCCTTCCCATGAGAGCCTCATATGGAGAAAATCCTGTGCCCTTTGATTCTCTGACCCTTATTCTCATTAAGACAAAGGGCAGTAACTGTGGGCTGGTCTACACCCAGCTGCTAGTTCGGCGGCTGGGGATCGAAGTTCCGGGTTCGACTTATTGCGTCTGGTCTGGACGCGATAAGTCGAACCAGGAAGTGCTCGCCGTCGACTGCGGTACTCCAGCTCGGCGAGAGGAGTACCGCGGAGTCGACGGGGAGCCTGCCTGCCGCGTGTGGACCGCGTCTGAACCGCGGTAAGTTCGAACTAAGGTTATTCACGTAGCTGAAGTTGCGTACCTTAGTTCGACTTGGGGGGTTAGTGTAGACCAGGCCTGTGACCAGTTTTTTCCTCCCATTTCTACTCCCTTTCTTAGCTCACTTTTAATGGTGCGGTTCATGCATTCCACTTGCCCCGCAGCCTGTGGGTGATAAGCAATATGGAACAATTGTGTGACTCCAGTGAGGGCTGATAACTCCCCTA